GGGAGAGAGGGAGAGAGGGAGAGAGGGAGAGAGGGAGAGAGGGAGAGAGGGAGGGGGAGAGGGAGAGGGAGAGGGGGGAAGGGGGAGAGAGAGAGAAATAAATAAATAAATAAATAAATAAGCAAGGAAGCAAGCTTAGTAAAAATCCAGTAAGAGAGATGCTGACTGAACAAATGAATTATAGGGTAAATAAATGCACTAGATTGTCCAAAGAAATTGGAAACACTGGGGAAAATATTATGATTAAAGTATCCCCCCCGCCCCAGATTACCAACCTGGCCTATTCTTTCACATTTAAATGTTGACGAAAAACAGAGCATATTATTTGAAAATACAAGTAACATACTGTTAGAAAATAAGTTTATCCTATGTTTTAAGCTTTTTTAAACACCAGCTATGTCTGATGTAGGATCTGTATCTAGAATATATAAAGAACCCCTATAAATCCACAAGAAAACACCAACAACCCAAAAGGATCATGGGCAAAAGATATGAACAAGGACTTCACAGAGAAAACAAATGGTCTACACATATATGCTTAAATGCTTAACCATGTGGATAATCAGGGAAATGCAAACTAAAAACGCAATGAAATACCAAAAGTGAGAAGTCTGGCAATACTAAGATTAAGCAAGGATGTGTAGCAACAAGAAAAACAAAAGGCACAACTATTTTTGAAAAGAACTTTTAATTACCAAGTAAAGTTGATAATAAGAATACCCTATGACTCAACTAAACTATTTACACAGATCTGTTGGGAAAAATGCTGAAATAATTTTCTCACAAGCCTGCTTTTTTCTTGAAGTTAATATCTTGTCCTTGAAACTATGTTTGTTTTCTCTGGCTATTAATCACAGCTTGCTCTTTTGACTTTTGTAACAAGAGCTTATCCACACAGACCTCATATGCTAGCTGAAATACTGAGAAAAGAAAGAAATATATAAAAGCCCTGGAAGAGTCCACTTATAAAAAGCTTTGTCAGACCTAGGTTTGGGGTCCAGGTATTCAGAGCACGAGTTCATCTGGGCCTGCTAGTGTAATAAACTTCTGGCTCTCCAACCCTCCAAGCATTAGACTGCTTCCTTGCTGAGTTCACTTCAACAACATTTTCTGGTGCATGGCCCGGAAGCAATTCATACTGGCCCCCTTGAGCCACCGGTTTGGACGTGCGGCTTGGCTGGATTGGTGACACCAGGAAGGACTGAGGGAGGAACCACCTGGCTATTTGTCGGGGCTTTGGTTCCATTGGGACCTCACTGACCCTAAAGAGCTCCTATTGACCAGACTCAGCAGAGGGAAAGGACCAGCCAGAAATCCCACCCATCATTACTTGCAGGACAGGTAGGCACCCTCCCCACATACAGTCCCAGCTCTAGGCGGAATGGGAGCTTGATCACTTTCCAAAAGAGCCTCTTTGAGTGCCCGATTGGTCCCTGAAACCAGCCAGAAATCCCACCCATCATTACTTGCAGGACAGGTAGGCACCCTCCCCACATACAGGCCCAGCTCTAGGCGGAATGGGAGCTTGATCACTTTCCAAAAGAGCCTCTTTGAGTGCCCGATTGGTCCCTGAGCTACTGTGCTGGGCCTTTAAGGCCTATCTGGTCAAAGCCCTATGGCGGGGCTTCTCTGTGCTGGGACTTTGTGGCAAAGTCCTTCTGTTCAGCTCAGGTCAGGGTTTACAGGAGAGAAATATTTAACTTCCGTGTGAGAGTGTGAGTGAATGTGTGATATTTGTGGCATCAAGTGATAAAAGTGGTGTCTGAGTGGGTCTTAACCTGTGATTTTGCGGTCACGTTGCATGGCATAATGGTATTCCAGTCCAGAAACTGACTGGACCAAGCCTGGGGTTTATATGGGTACACCTTGGCCAAGATGGGCCCAACAGTCCATACAAGGGGCACGGCTAGGCAGACGCCTGTGTGGTCTTCCTCCTCCTCTGGGAGAAGAGCAGCTCCCATCCTTGTCTGTCTTGTGACTCTGAAGCAGGGAGGGAACTGGGAGGGGTCCCACACCAGCGGAGGAAAAGCCTTTGTTCATGTTTGATGAACATTAGTCTGTCTCCTTTTTAGTAAAGTGTTGCTTGCTTTACTGCTGGGTACATTGGTACATTGTTAATTTCTAATTTGGTCACTGGCAAAAACTGAAAGGCTTAGGGCACCAGAGGGGACTCTAGTTGCAAGAGGCAAGTGGCCACGGGGACTATTTTGCTCCCATGTCTCTGCTGCTAGTACTACCCCAGCCTAAATTCTGCAAGGCAATGCTTACTCCTCTTTACCTTTCTCTGAATGTCTGAGCCCTCTTCTGTTGTTTGGTTGGACTATACCCACTAATGAACAGGTGCACCCTGGAGGGCTCCTGGCTATGCTCTGTTTCTGATTTAAATCTAGTAGGTATTTTTCTCCTTTGTGCCAACTGCAGTGGGGAAAAGTGTTTTTATCAATTACTGTGTCAGTGAAATGGGCTGCCCCCGCCAATTGCAACTAGGTTAAACTGGACCCCACTGCTCCTCTTTTCACTTTGTTTGCTTGGTTAGACATTTAGTTGAGTGACAGCACCAACGCTATTTAGGACATAAGTGCCTGAGACAAAAATGGAGGATGGAATTAAACATGGGGACAAGTGCCTCAAAACCTACTGCCCTTAATTATATCTTAAAAATTTTCAGAAAGGCTTCTCTGGGGAGTACGGAAGTAACATGACCCCCAGGAAATTCCAGATTCTGTGTGAATTAGAATGGCCTACCTTTGGGGTTGGATGGCTTCCGGAAGGGACATTAGACCTCCCAATGTTTCGAGCTGTTTATAAGGTCATTTCAGGGGAGCCAGGACACCCAGATCAGTTTCCATATATAGACTCGTGACTCTGCCACCCTGGGTCTGGTTCTGCATTCATAAGGGAAAAAGTATGGTCCTTGCTGCATGAACAGTCCGGAAGTCAGAGTGTAAAGGGTGAGAGACAAAAAAACATATATACGAAGGGGATCCTGATGAAGAGTTTTTTCCTCTACCATACCCCATTCCTGCAGAGACACCTGGCCTCAGGCACCCAGTGCCAGACAGCCCCCCAATGTCAGTCCCATTGGCTCCACCAGCATCATCACCAGTGAGCACTAAAAGTCCTGAAAGTCCTAAACTGGTGGAGAGGGGACTCTTGCAGAGACACCTGGCCTCAGGCACCCAGTGCCAGACAGCCCCCCAATGTCAGTCCCATTGGTTCCACCAGCATCATCACCAGTGAGCCCTAAAAGTCCTGAAAGTCCTAAACTGGTGGAGAGGCGACTCCGCTCGGCCTAACAGGTTTCAGCCCTCCAGATGCCCCTATGGGAGACCGAAGGCCCACAGCAGATCAATCCAGATGGTAGTGTGCAGCCAGGGTGCCCCTCTTCTACTATTAACCCACCTGGGAAGACTGCCAGCTACTCCTCACCCTCTTCAACACCAAGGAACGGCAATGCATCCTGACTGGTGCTAGACAATGGTTGCAATAGCAGGCATCCGCAGCCACCACGGATCCTGAGACCGGGCAAGAGACACTGCACCAGACATGGTGATGAACTGGGACTTCAAAGAAGAAGAATGGAGAAATCAACTCTGCTGATATAGAGAGGCCCTTCTCCAAAGGAAAAAAGCAGGTGCCAAAACAATCATCGTAACCCAGAGGCCTGACGAGCCACCTGCTGAGTTTTATGAAAAATATGTGAAGCCTTCCAGATCTACACACAGACAAACTCACTCTGGACGAAATCTCAATGTAAAGGTCCCACAGTTGGGGATACAAATGGCCGACAAACTCCAGGATGATTCACTATTTAGGACTCCTCTGTGAAAACCCTCAGGTACGCATTGAAACAGTGCGGACACTGAATCCAGCCATGCTCCTGCCTGCTGAGTCCGGCTCCCCGGACCACAACTGTAAAGAACGGATAGATAAAATATATTCCAGCAGGCCTGATTTAACAGACTTGCCTTTGATTGACCCAGACATGGAACTGTTCATGGATAGGAGCAATAGAACTGGATATGCGGTAACAACTCATAAAGAGGTTATAGAGATGAAGTCCTTGCCTCAGGGCTGGTCAGTGCAATGGGCAGAGCTATGGGCACTTATTCAAGCATTCGGATTCTCAAAAGGACAGCAGGTCAACATTTACACTGACTCTAAATATGCCTTTGCAACCTTGCAAGTCCATGGGGCCCTATACAAAAAAAAGGGGGGACTACTAATGACAAGGAAGAAATTCCTCAGCTCCTTGAGGCAATTTGAGAATCCTCCCAAGTGGCTGTTACACACTGTAAAAGACAAGATCAATAAAGGAAACCGTCTGGCCGATTAGATGTCCAAAAAACAACTGTCCAAACAGCACCTGCTAAAGGCCAAAAAAAGACTGCCAAAAATCACATGCAAGGACTCTGGCCAGCCCCTGGAGTTCAGCCAGTCAGGATATCACCTTTCAAGGACCTGGTAATGGACTTACTGAACTAAAATCCTGCAGAGCCTATAAGTACTTGCTGGTGATGATATGTACTTTCACTAGATGGACTGAGACATTGCCCACATGGTCAGAACAAGTCCGAGAGATCATAAAGGCCCTTCTAAGGGAAGTGGTCCCAAGATACAGGCTCCCTCTGATAATAGGGTCAGACAACGGGCCAACATTCATTATAGAGGTCATTCAAGGACTGGCCAAAGTGCTGGAAATAAAATGAAAACTCCATACAACATATAGGCCACAGAGTTCAAGAAAAGTAGAACATGTAAACCGGACCCTAAAGACCACATTAGCTAAGCTCTGCCAAGAGACAGGAGCTTCCCTCGAAAGATATGCTTCCCTTAGCTTTGCTATGAGTCTGGTGTATGGCAGGACCAACAGTATATTCCGCTTTTAAGATCATGTATGGAAGACCACCCCCGCTTATAGCTACACTGCAGGGGGACCCTCACCAGCTGGGGGAAGATAAAGATGTACAGTACTTGTAGTCATTGGCTACGACTTTCAAGTAAAAAACTCAGACAATTTTAAAACAAGCTCCTATCCCTTTAGGAAGATGGGCTCATCAGTTTCAAACTGGTGACACAACGTGGAAAAAAGATTGGAAAAAGGCTCCTTTAAAACCAATCTGGACGAGGCTGCACATAATTGAACTAACCACCCCTACTACAGTTAAGGTTGCAGGTCTGACTTGCTGGTTGTACCATACATGGGTGAAACAGGCAGCCTCCCTAAATGACGCCACCTCATGTCTATGAAGGCTAATCCCTCTGACCTGCTCAAGGTCCGATTCCAGAGATGTCTTGCTAATTGTCACTGCACCTGCACTTGCACATGGCTGAAGCCTAAGGATTTGACAAGCCCTGCATCAGCCACTCCAGAGGCTGGCTGATCCTGCACACAGCCGAAGCTTGAGGATTTTGTCACCGCAGGACATAACAAGTACACTATTTTATTTTTATGAAATGATAAGCATATGTCACCCCTTGCCTTTAATTTTGTTATATTGCTTGCTTTGCTTTTTGCCATAAGATTGATGACAGTAGCCCCAAAAGACAGTAATAGGGTAAAAGAATTTCTTATTAACACTCCTTTATCTCCTGACATCAGGATGTTTCTTAGACATCTCATGGTGGCAATCTACATTCATGCCACCATAGTAACTTTGGTTGGAAAAAAACAGCCAGTAGTCCGCTAGTTTTAACAGACTACACCTCCCTAAAACCTCTCTGAGACCCGAAAGCAATACCAAATAAGGTTATGCTTACGCAAAAGTTTAAAGAGAGCATAAAAGTGGGGAAATGTTGAGAAAAATGCTGAAATAATTTTCTCACAAGCCTGCTTTGTTCTTGAAGTAATATCTTGTCCTAGAAACTATGCTTGCTTGCTCTGGCTATTAATCACTGCTTGCTCTGTTGGCTTCTGTAACAAGAGCTTATCTGCACAGACTGCATATGCTAGCTGAAATGCTGAGAAAAGAAAAAAAAAAATATGTAAAAGCCCTGGAAGAGTCCGTTTGTAAAAAGCCTTGTCAGACCTAGGTTTGGGGTCCAAGTTTTCAGAGCACGAGCTCATCTGGGCCCACTTGCATAATAAACTTCTGGCTCTCCAGAGTTTGACTGCTTCCTTGCTGAGTTCGCTTCCACAACAGATCAAACATGGAGCCAAGAATCAGTATACAAATTGTTACTGTCTTCATTTAAAAAAAAAAAAAAAAACATACTTACCCAGAACAACATAATCAATAACTTTATGGAGCAATGACTTCAATTAGAACCTATATTAAGAGCTCTTCATGTCCCCTTTAGAACAACTTTAGAGCTAGGTTCTACTGATTATTACCCGAATTTTATAGATGCAAAAATTGTGGCTTGGAGGACACGTTAGGAGGTCCTCAAGACAAGCAACAGGTTTGCTAGAAGGACTCACAGACTCAACATTTAGTTCCACTACAACTAAAGCTAACTACAGTGAAAGGATACACAACAGGGTCAGCATGATAGGAGGTCCTCAAGACAAGCAACAGGTTTGCTAGAAGGACTCACAGACTCAACATTTAGTTACACTACAACTAAAGCTAACTACAGTGAAAGGATACACAACAGGGTCAGCATGAAAAAAAATCTGGAGAAATTCATGCACAAGGCTCCTAGCTTGCTCACTCCTGTGAGGAGACACACCGAGTATACTACTTCCTCCAACAGCAAAAAAAAAAAGTAACAGTAATGTGGGTGTAACATTTTTGCCCAGGAAAGCCTATTATAGACTTAGCACCTAAGAGTTAACTCTTTTCTGAATAAAGAATTAAGCAGTTCACTTAAGGTTGTACAGCTGGAAAAGATGAATAGCCAGAATTCAGTCCCATGCAGTTTGATATTCTGAGCCTGAGCTTTTAACCACTGCACATGGCTGTGCCCCAAATCAAAGAACAGCATAAGCATTTGCTTTGCCAGTGAATCAGAGTAATGGTTTTGTGCAAATTTCAACCTCATCCTGAATTACTGGGACATTCTAAGCTGGGAAAGGCAAAAAACACACTGTATCAAATACCTTCTATTAAACTTAACTCTGTATTATCTTCCATCTCAGACATATCATTTTTTTCTGTGTTAATTACATATATTTTTCTTACATAGGAAATAATGAAAAATGTATTTTGAAAATAACAAAAATAAACCATTAAATGGGACAAGAACTAGTCCATGTACTTAAAGGGTAAAAAGTTCCAAAGATATACACTGTTTTGTCACAGGAACTACTCGTCTTTTCTTATATTAAAGAAGAGCAAGAGGTTGGAAAAAGAGGACAGAGGTCTTAAGAAAATAACTGTACAAAAGATGTATGAGCAAAAAAATCACCGTAGCATTGTTCTGAACAACAAAAACAGGAAATAATCAAAATGTTCATCAATTAATGATTTAATTACAAATTTCCACACTTTGGAATACAATGCAACCACATAAACTTTAACAAATTATTAGTTTGTTCACCAATTAACCCCTGATCTCCTATTATGTGCCATGCATTCTTCAAGCAATTTATCATTATATGTACTAACATGGAAGAATTTCCAACTGTAAACAATGTTTACTTCTGAAGAAAGAAAACAAAAAACTTGAGTAAAGAAAGGTGACAAAAGGAAACTTTCCTTAACTCTATTTACTTTGTATAAAGACTGAATTTTTTATTAACAAGAATATATTCATAAATTATATAAATCGTTAAAATTGAGACTGTACCTGAATGCTTCCCTCTGTATCAAGAACTTCAGCAACAGGAACTGACTGGATAAACTGCATGAAACCTACACAGAAAAGTATGCACTGAATTAAGCATAACTATCGGTTAATCAATAAAAATAAAGGTTCTGCTAAGAATAGCCTACATCTGTAGATAGATACACTCCATATCTGAACAACTTAAAAAGGTCTGTGAAAACTATATTAAGTTTATACTGGCATCATGTCATAGTAACTACAAGGAAATCTTTTTTAAATTAAGCTGATTTAAACTATATGTTTCTTTAGGCTAATTTCTATTACTGAACATGAGGAAAACAAAGTAACATACTAAGCTTCTTAATTGAAAATTTCTTCTTTCTTATCTATAAAGTGATAGTAAAAAAAAAAAAAAATTCTTCTTTCAGTAGTTTTATAACATATGCCAGTTAAAAATATTCCAAATTTAAAATCAATCTAAGAAATTTGGAATTATGGAATATAATCACCTGACCCTAAAGTTGTATGCATGTCCATTGGTTCCTTTTGTCTAGTATTCCATGTTTCTGTCACTTGCTAGAAATAATCCATTAAACTTTTTACCAAAGAGAAGAGAAAGGGAATGGTATGTCGGAGAATGAGAATGAGAAAATGTAAATCTGGGACAACAACAGGAGCATAAAACAACAAATATATTTTTAAAAAATCAAAGCTGAATGAAGAAAGCAATACTTCAGTATCATAAACAATCATGATCTGGTTTTGATGACCCTTACATTATAGCAATCTGCATGTATTCCACCTTTAAAGTAAGACATGTCTCATTTATTCTTATATCACAAATACAGAATAGTACACATTAATTCACTTAACAGGTCATGTTGTTTCTCTACTATGTGGCAAGAACTTTGCCAAGTAAGCAAAAATAGATGCTTGACCCTGCCTACATAGATCTTAATACTTACAAGTTTTACTGGGATAAAAACTATGAATGAAAGGGCACTATGAAAGGGAGTAGTAAAGGGAGACTAGCACCTGTTTTCAAGGATAGTAAAACTAACAGGTAATCTTATGTAGGAAAGGTGTTTCAGAAAGCTGAAAAGAGCATGATGCATTACAGAAATTGGAAGGTAGCCAGTGTGGCTAAAGCCTAGCAAGCAGGGGGAGAGTAGCAAAAGAAAAGGCTATGCAAGAACTTATAAGCTAGGAAAAGGTGTTTGGCCTTTGTCAAAGAGCAAATGAAAGCTCTTAAATAAATAGATGTAGGATACTAAAAGGAGCATATTTGCATTTTTTAGAAAAGTTCATTCTGAGAGAAAAATGAGAAGAGTAATTAAACTATCCATAAGATTTGGGAGTAGCCAGCAGAATGGCAGAAAACCTGGAACAGATATTTTGTTTCTCCAAGGTAACAAGACTATGAAATTTGTAGTAAGCATGGGGAGATGAGAAGGAAGGAAGGGGAAAAACGAAGGAAGGTCAGCATAACTGCTCTTCAGTGCTAGAAATGAGTTTGATCTCTAACATTTTTAACAATTTTCAATTGAAGAATGAAAAGTATACTTGGACACTGAAATAAACAATCATGAGGTAAAATAAACTTACCATGTTTTGTACTAGTGGCTAATACCTTATAAGGTGTCAATTTCAAATCCAGATTTTCTTTCCGTAACAGCTATTAATCAAAAGATAAAATATATCAACCAAACTAAAGAAGGTTAAAAAACAATTTTGTGGGCATATATTACAACACTTTAATATAATAAAGATTTAGGAGGTAAACCTACATTAAGCTTAACTTTAAATTAATTACTTAACTTCAATCATCAAAATAAATTTATTAAGTACTTACATGATGCTGTGCCAAATTTCTGATCTACTCTAAATCTCTGTCGGAAGTTTTTAATGAGCAATAGTGTTCCTCCTACTATTTTATACAGTCCTTTCTGGACATAAAGTACCTTAGAACTCAAGAAAAAAAAAGTGAGGGAAACATGTTCCTTTAAAAACCAGGGATAAGGATGAAGTCTTTTTCTTTCTTTTTTTTTTAAAGACGCAATAGACTTAAGAGGAAGGAAATTACTACATCCAGCACTCAAAGAATTTAATTTGAAAAAAAAAGTTTTTATGGAACACATACAGTTTCATTTTATACTCATCACTAGAGCCATTCCGAAGTATAAAAAAACAATGAAATTTGTTCAAGATCAAGTGGAGATTGTTGAGTTTTCTCAGGACTGTACTTGAATGTTACAAATACTCCTCCTTATGTAAAAAATAAAGGTACTAAATCACAGTTTTCTAAAATGAAAAAATGTTCCCCACCAACATATGGTTATGTTCACCTTGTCCATGAGTGAAATGATTTGAAGAATAAGTTGATCTTGGCGTAAATCATCTCCATGCTTAAATATAACTGGATATTTACCTCCATCTTCTGTTTTAAAGAACAACTGTGCAGGCATAAGGGCACTCTGGAAAACAAAGACATTGTTTTCAAATATGGATTCAAATTTATGCATAAAGATTTACAACATACAGAAGGAAATAGTGACATGTAAGTTAAACACACAGTAAAAAGGACCTAAAGAAACAAGATGGGCTATTAGTAAGACACTCAGGGTAACTTAAAGAGAAAAATGAACTAGCTAAGAAACAGTCAGAAGATTACATAGTGGAAATTGCACAAGCTCTGGAATCAGTCATGGATATGAACCCAGGCTCTGCCAGGTACTAGCTCAGTGATCTTGTGCATATTCTCTAACTTGCTTCCTCCCCTGTAAAATAAAGATAACACCTCATCTGCAGAGTTACTAAAGTGATCAGAAACCACAGAAGTCAAGGGTCTGGCACCATGCCTGAGAGAGAGCAGACATTCTATACATGTCCATCATCACTATTTTTATTATTAGAGATATACTGGAGTAAACAAGGCCTGGTTTTAAATGGCAAATGTAGTACTACTTGTGCAGTTTTTTTTTTTGGTCCTTTTTGAGACTGGCCACACCGCGCTCAGCCAGTGAGCACACCGGCCATCCCTATATAGGATCTGAACCCACGGCGGGAGCGCTGCTGCGCTCCCAGCGCCACACTCTCCCGAGTGTGCCACGGGCTCGGCCCTTGTGCAGTTCTGAGATTCAAATTTCTCATTTATAAAATGAGGTGAGATCTCAAATATCTGTAATATTATTATGGAATAATTTTTTTTCCCCCAGAATCTTTCCCTCAATTACATGGAACTTCTAAATTAATTTAGGTATACATTTAAATCTACCAAAAATAAAGAAATTAGATTCTCTTTCGAATGTGAGAATCATATAAAACCTCACATTAAGTAGCATGCTGAGAACACTAGTTTGGAAATAAATGGTCAGAAAACTGTTCTGAGAGATAGGCCTTATTTATTTTGATCTCTGAGAGGAAAGTACATAAGATAGGAATTTATAATAATACAAAGAAAATAAACAACTCAGGCAAATAAAGAAAACAAATGGTAATAACCTTAATTTACACAAGCCAAGAGAAACAATAGCACAAAAAGTATCAAATAGAGGGATAAAAAGACAAAGCAAACATCAAAATGGTAATGATAGGATGGAAGTGGTAGGTACACAGCTGTTGACTGTAAAATTCTTTCTGCTGTATGTTCAACTTTCCTATAAAATGGGGAAAAAGGCATAAAAAATTCTTCAAAATCTATATGTTTAGAACTTATAAACTCTAGTACTTATGGTAATTTCCTACTGTAATTACATCCTTTTTTATATGCATTAGTTGTTTGCTCCGAACCTTAAATTACCTTAGAGTATCCTTATCACCCCTGGCAAAAATATATTTTATAAATTACCTTGTACCCTAGTTCACAAAAGCTGAAGAATAATAACTGGAAGTGATCTCCCTTAAAGATAAACAAGCAGGAAGATATTTGTCGTGATTTCCCTTTTCGGATTTAAAAGGAAATTCAGATTTCATCTGAAATCTAAAGCAAGCAAGTGTCCCATGAAGATCTAGCTTTGGCTCTTATGCTAAGGACTACAAAATATTCTTTAAAAACACTAGAAAAAATGGTGCTTAACCTTTTCAGCTCTAAAGAGTTCATAAAAGGACAACAGGAAATCATGGATTCCCTGCAACTAAATGCAGAAAATTCTGTGTATGTGTAGAGTAAGAGCAATTTTCTGAAGTGCACAATCCCTCACTTTCACCAGATTTTCAAAAGCAATCACGAGACAAAAAAATTAAGAATTACTTAAGATTTACGTAGTAAGTATACATAAAGAAACTCTATATAACTAGTTACTCTACATAACTAAAGTAACTGCCTCAGAAACATTATTCCTAAATTCCAAGTCAGAATTTTCACGAATGCCCACATATTTAAGGGATGGAAGGAAAACAGTAAGGACTGGACACTTGGATAAACAGATGTCCCATGATATTATATTGATCATTTACTTTGTGTATATAAGGCACAATTATAATATTCTATAAGTAAGGAGAAAATGAGTCTAGAATCTACCTAACAAGATACACATTCTTATACTCCACTCTTACAATACCTGCTCTACATCTTAGATGTTCTTTTCCATGCTGCTTGAAAAAAACAATAGAACTACCTTTTCAATTCACTTCTCTTTATTTGACCGTAGAAAACAGGAATATTAGAAGCTGGCCTTATTTGGGAGTTTTAGTTCAAAGGAATGCTGGTTGTTACAGGTATATTGCCTTGTGTATAGCTTTTTACATTTCAGCCCCCTGTGGATTGTAAGCACAAACTAAGAAATGTTTGCATTGTATCTTCTATACTAGTATTTTCTCATTGCAGGTTGTAATACCAGTATTTTTCAAATTGAAGGATGTAACTTTAATGAATTTTAAAACCAATTAAATAGGCTGTAAACAACACTTAAAAGTTAAAGCAATAGGATAATTTTTAAAAGAACAGAAGCTATTAGTCCCTAACATGCAGTAAGATAAAGCACTGCTTTATGAAACTTACGTTTCAGTTGTGCGAGTTGAGTTGCAACAAGTTGCTTTAAAACACACCCTTAAAAAAAACCTGAACTATTTCCTACTGTAATTACACCCCTTTATATATATTAGTTGTTGTTTTATGAACCATTTTTTATCTGATGCAAAGTAATGTTCAATGCAACTTATGCCCTTTTACCACTAGAATCACAAAACCTAAAACACCACATCTCACAGAAATCTTTCAGTATAATGCCCAGCAGATAATGAAGCTTGCAAGTAAGGACGCTCAGCTCTTTGGCCCTTACACCTTATTAGAGAATGCAGCTACATCAGCTGTTTCTACCTGTACAACTGGTGGCCAGCCAAAAGAAAGCACATTGAGCTTGAACTAAAAAGACTAAAAAAAATTGCTACTTGAAAATATAAGAAAACCTTAAAGTTCATAAGAACAGATATTAGATTGAGTCAGACTGGAACTCATATCTAACCATCTGAACTTATAAATTGAATGCACAATATAAGTTTTGCAATTTACTTTTTTTTTTTTTTTAATAGCTTACATGGCAAAAAGTAGCCATGGTTCTAATTAACAATTAGTTTAAAGAATTAAATATTAAAAAACAACCAAAAGATATAAAAATATTTTACACATTTCATATAAAAATGCCTGTACACCAGTAACACAAAAAGATCATAAACTGAAACCCACTGACAAATAAAAGGTACCTTTTCATCTGGCATTTACTAAATCCAACAGAATTACAGATATTCCCTGCAATGTAATAATTTTTCAAGGTAGTGTCTCTGACCTAGTTTTAAGAATTAGATTCCAATCATATAGATTAAAGACCCATAATAATTACCTTAAATAGTGTAGCTGTTTCTGGGATTATTCCTCTAATTTTCACTTGGGGTTCTAAAGGCAATGGGATAAGTTCCACATCAGACAAATTCATTTTTTCATTATCTCCAAGCAATGCCTGTAGTCTCTCATTCTAGGAGAACAAATCAGAAAAAATTAATTAGGTTAAAATGGAAAAGTAGTTTATAAAAACACATAATAAAGACATAAAAACTGATTCTATTAACTATAAAATATCTGCAAAGCGCCGTAAAAGTATATAGATACTACCGTAAAGGAGATAGTGTACATGTAAGAGATAAGCACTTAAAAATATACACCTAACAATAGCAGCAGCGTGAATTAAAAAGAGCAACCCCTTGACTATGAAAAGCTGGACATTCACAGGAAGGACAGAAATAAATTTCACTGCTGCAGCTGAGGAAAAATAGAATATATTCGAGTTGAATTCTTAAAGATTCAATTTCTGTTTCCCAAAGATTTGTGAAGCCACAGAGAGAAACTAACTCATATGAAGCTTGACTTTGCATGACCAAATATTAAGCAAGAATTTTGTTATGCTGCCCCAGCACATTTTTTGGTGTTTAAGAAGAAAATTTAATTCCCTTGAAGAAACTTGGACCTTACCTTTTCCCTTTCACTGAGTCTGCCTGATCAAACTTTTCCTAAGATATCATCATCATTCATTTTCTTGAGCTCATATATATATTGCATTGAGCCAAGATTTCAGAGACTGAGAAAATCCAAGTTATAATGAAACAGTTTCGTCATTTAGTCATATCTACAGTGTTTATTTTATTTTATTTTACTTTTGTATTCAACTCCAAAAGAAAAATCTATTTCCTTTCAGAGCTGAGAGAGCCTTGCATTCTTTAAACAGGTGAGATTGTTCTTTAAGAGAGAAAACTTGACTTGCCAATCCCAGTAGCATCATGCACTTCAACTCTATTGACTTTGAAAAATATATACATCAAAGGAGAGAACTCTGGAATCAGTGAGAGAAGGAAATTAAGAAAAAATAATATGTTTCAAGGACTCCCAAAACATAAAACTAAATTATTTCCTTTTAGTTATACTCCAAATCTCCTACTGAATGATAAAAAGTTCAAGTCAAAATCAACAGAAAACTAGTATGAATTTCCACATATGCTTACAAAAATCAGTAAGTCTACTCCCTAAACAAATAAATGACCAGATAAATTAATGTGAAGTAATGTCAACTAATCCAACTTTCAAATTATCCTATCTTCATCAATTTCAGTTAAAGTCCTAATAAACAACAAAACAACCAGAAAGCAGATAATAAGAAAAGGGTGAAAAATCTAGCCACTTCTCACCATTTCCACCACTGGAAACCCTAGGGACCTAACCACTATCATTTTCATCTTGATTACTGTAATACTCTCCTGATGGTTCTTCTTCAACCTTTGCCCCTATAGTCCTTTTTTTTTTTTTGACCGGCAAGGGGATCGCAACCCTCGGCACGGTGTGGTCTGCACCACACTCAGCCCGTGAGTGCACTGGCCATCCCTATATAGGATCCAAACCCAAGGTCTCAGGGCTACCAGCACTGCACTCTCCACAGTGAGCCACGGGGCTGGCCTGCCCCTATAGTCTTTTAACAAAAGCAACCAGTAACTAAAATGAAAGTCATATCATGTCACTCTTCCATTCAAAACCTCCAATAGCTTCTACTTTTATTCAGTGTTTAAATCAAAGCCCTCATAATAGCTTATAAGGATATATTCCATCTGTTTCCCCATTATCTCTATCTTCATTTCCTACTACCCTACTCTCTTTGCTCAAAATACACTGGGCTTCATCCATTTCTCAAACACGCCCCACATGGTCCAACCTCAGGGCCTCTGCACTTGCTATCCGCCTCTGACTGAAACTTGGACTCGTTTCCTCACTTGCTTCAGGTCTTTGTTCAAATGTCAATTTCTCAATGAGGCCTTCCCTGACCACTCTACTGACAAGTACAACATTGCCTTACTACTCAACCCAGCACCACCTATTCCTACTGACTGCTTTATTGTCCCCCACAGCACACAACACTATCTAGCATACTGTATATTTTACTTATTCATTTAGTTTACTTTCTTCAACAACAATGTAAGCTCCATAAGCAGAGGGACTTTTACATTCACTGCTATATCCCCAGAATGCAGAAAAGTGCTTGGCACACAGGAAGCAATGCAATACGTATTTGTAGAACAAATAAATGAGTAATAGCCCCTAAAGAACCACAAAGTGAAAAGAGACTACAACATTAAAAATAAAAGCTTTAATTTTTTAAAAAATGTTGATGGAAAATACATTTTTATTAGAACTCAAATATCTAGACTCAGAGACTTCTTCTAAAAGAAAGTTTTTCTAAACTAGAGGTCAACACAGGAAAAAAAAATAGCAACATTACTATTTGTTTCACTCACTTAACAATTAACTCAGGCATTACCCTGCCACATATCTAACTCTGCTGCACCTGCCATATCTCTCTCCCAAATTAATTTTGAGGCATGGAAAAATGTTATATATGATTTTAAATTATTAGCAGTAGGCATTTAATTATTACTAGTAATAATGCAAATAATGGTAGTAGACAGCCATGTTTACATTTCTCCACAATGCCAGGGCTTGTTTTTAGTAAATTTATGTAAATAAAGTTAAGTTTGTCTTTTACCATATCATGAGAAAATGTCTAAAAAGAGTTTTAACCAATGTTGAGACTATATTTGGAATGGTCTGACTTAAAACATAGGTTATGTGGCAAACACAAAATTTATGTTGGGGAGCTCTGAGTAATGTCTCAAATAGACAGTCATCCTCTAGGACAGCTAAAACTGAGGTGTAACCAAAAGGCTCATGTGTCTGCTAAATAAAAGAGCCTCTGACACAAGGACAAACTGCAATTTCAGATACAAGCTCCATTTGAGAGCATGCTGCTTCTCACACAGATACCTCTAAGAGATGCTCTAGAGGGAAAAAAAAAGGGGGGATTTACTTTATTTATCTGATCATGGTTTGTGATTCTTCTCAAGAACAAAGAAAGTGTCAACTCAATAAAAATGTATTTCTCCTAAGCCTATTTTCCCCTTTCTAACTTGGTGAACATTATTTCTTATACACGTCTCTGCTAGCATTACTCTTTAGACCTTATCCATTGCCTTTGAACTTCTGACTCAATTCTTCATCTTTCCTCTCTTACGTCTGGAGAATAAATGTAAAATATGTTGAACTGTTTTACAAAGGTCGCCAAGAAAGATCCGCCTGTTATCTAAGAGGATTAGGAAAAGAGATGATATTAAGTGAATCTTTCACATCATTTAGGCTACTGATCAGAAAAACTAACATATGAAAAATACCCATCTATTCTACTCATCAAGTGGAAGCCTCACAGTTGAGAGAAAAATCAATGTACTAGCGAGAAGAACAGGTACAAAGCCAGTGTTGCTGCTAACAACCAGTTCTGCAACATTAGGCAAGTCACTCTGGACTTTTGTTTTCTCAGAAGAATTCTAGTCTAAATGATCTCTAGAAATCTGTTCCATACAAATATATTCTAACGTACTAAGATTCTAAAATGACAGGCAGTAATGCATCACAGATAAAAATATGGACTCGTAGCAAAAACTCAGTATTGTATGATGCCAAGCCACTACTGGTCATAAACAGAAAGCAAACCCCATAGGTTTACCTTTTTCTTACGATTTCCACTTTCACGCTGCACTGCCTTCATCAGATGCACCAACCGATCTACAAATGTCTGCTGTGCAGCCAGCAAAGAACGCATAACTCTGACAGACTTATCACCCTAAAGGGAATTAAAGTAAAGGAAAATTAGTTTTATGTAGCACAATGAGAAGAGTTTCTTTAATAGCATGGATGATCTTTATTTATTCTTGTAATAGCTGTAAACTTCAATACAAAGTGAAATTGAAAAAGATTAATTATCTTGATTCAGAGATAATGAGAAACCTGCTATCTTAGTTAAACACCACAAACTTGTCTACAGTTGAAAATTATGAGTCCTCAGCAAATACTGGTCTGTCCATGACAGCACTTTTTTTTCACACACAACCATGTGACAAAATAGAATTCATTCACCCTAAACTGCATTCACTCATTGATTCAAAAAAATATCTGAAAGCCTGTAAGGTCTTCAGAAACATGCTGGGCATATAAATGACAGAAACAAACTATCTTCAAAGAATGAAAAATATACCAAAAAAAAAAAAGGAAGAAAAATACTCAAATAGCACAATACTTTTACATGCTTGCTTAATAAAATATGTCATAAAAACTAAATGCTATAAAGTCTTATGAAGTGATCTCGGTTCATAAAATATTGTAAAATACATTTTCTCATTTAATCCTCCAATTACCCTGGTGTAGGCAACTGGGCAAATATTATCACCATTTCAAGGGTGAAAAACTTTAAGATCAGAGAAACTGAAATGTCTTCACAGGGTGACAAAGGCTGTAAATAGACAGAAGTAGGATTAGAAGAGAAGACCAAGGGCTTATATGCCAATCAGTTTGATGTTGAGAAGCTCTAAGCTCTGAGAACTATATAAAAGGTTAATTTCAAAGTGTTTAATATCATATGACTTAAAAATTTAAGAAGATGAAACATAAAACAGCAGATAAAAGATGCTATGAAACGAAATATTTCTGTAGCAAAGTCAGATGAATGTGTTTTCTTTACATTGCTCTTGTGCCCTCTGCTTGCTGAACTGTGACATTGCTTTAAGAATCAAAAAAACACCAGGGGAAAAATGGCCTTACATCTCCCAAAACTGTTGAAGAAGCAAAAATATAAGTTACATAGAAATTATCTGCAATATGACCATTGCCAGATTATTGAGAATGTACCTAGTTATGATAAGAAAAATAAAAAATAGAAAGCAAAAAAAGAAAGGAAAACCCTACATTTTTTTTATTTCATGTAAAATTTTATTTCACTAAGTCAGGGATCAACGAACTTTCCATAAAGAACCAAAGAGTAAATATTTTAGGCCTTGCTGTCCATACAGTTTCCATTCCAACTATTCAACTATTATTGTAGTACAAGAGCAGCCATAAACAATAGGAAAACAAATGAGTGTAACTATGTTCCAATAATTTATTTAAGAACACTGAAATTTGCATTTTAAATAATCTTCATGTATCACAAAATATTATTCTTCTTTTGATTTTTCAACCATTTAATGGCATGCTGATAGTACTGACCTGGCCATTACATCTTTGGCACAAGTGGTAACAGTCAGCTTTGTACCCCAGGAATATGCATAACCAATAAAATTAAATTTTTTTAAAAAAATACTGCAGTTTGTCAACCCCCACATGAATGCTTACCTTCAACAATGCTTGACTGAATCTTCTCATTACATTCAAGTACATCTCATGGGTCTTTGGATCTCTCTGCTGAGTATCTTGATCTTCACATTCTACTATCACATACCTTTAAAATATGTTTAAGTCATTCATATGATGTGAAATCAAACTCAGACTCATTTTGTAAATATTTATGTCTTTTCATTAAAACAGACTAACTCACATTTGCAAAAATAATCACATAGAAATAATGAAACATTTTATCACCACTCTTTTAAAAGTAAAAAATTAAGAAGTGACATATACAATAATCACTAAGAAATAAACTAACAGTAGTAATGCCTTAATTTGTGCAATATCATAAATTTTCTAAAAATTTTGCTTTCAAAATATTTTCTTCTACTATTTTTTAAGGTACTTAGAACATAAGCATCCTCAGAAATCACCTAAGCTCACGTATCCACCAAGTAACTCAAGAAAAAGAACTACTATTTTCATAATCTATTTAATAACCTTTGGTATTACACAAGGCTCTCTTACTGTGAAAACCACTCTGAAGCTCCTTTTCTCATTAACACACTTTTGAAAGATAAATAAAATTTAAACTAAGTTTTTCCTTTCCCATCCAATTTCTCCATTTCTCAAATATATAAATATATATATAAAATCTTCAACTTTTCCATTATAAAACTGTGATTTGAGAGAGTTAAAGAAATTTTAAATATCTTTGTAAACGTTAACTACTTTATTTATTTATTTATTTATTTATTTTTTTGTCTTTTTTTCCATGTCTGGCAACGGATCGCAACCCTCAGTGTTGCCCCCGTACCGGACCGGGGACCGGCGACGGGATCGCAAGCCTCG